GGGTGGGCGGACGCCACACTATACGTTACAGTGGCGTGGCCGGGGCGGTCGCCTAATTGCGTGCGGGCGTGCATCTGCATGCGCCGTCTCTCTCGCACCCGGCCGGCCCGCCCCGCGAGTGCGAGAGAGACGGAGCGACGAAAGGCGGCGGCGCGGTACGCGGCGGTGCGGTAACGAGCAGCGTGTCGGCGTCGTGCGGCGTGCCTCGGCCACTTGATGCAGTGTCACAGTGTGCCTGCTCATTAGTGAGACGCGTGTCCCTGGTCGAGGAGGCCAGTGTGGGGCGCGGCGCGCGGCCTCCGCCCGCACCGCGGCCACCACGATGACGACGACGATGACGAAGTGGGCGAGCCCCCCGCAGGCTGTTACAGATCGATACTCACAGCGGCGTGGAAAGTTTAGCGGCGATTCTTTTCCTTTTCTCTCCTTTCTGCATGCCTTTCTTGTTGTTGTGCATGTGTTGTTGTTGTTCTCTTGGTATTATTGTGTTTTCGATCATATCCGGGACAAGCCGGCGAAGACTTCTACGCTTATTAAGTTCACGGCAAAAAGTATTAACCAAATTTTAAAGTTTTTTTATTTTTTGTTTTGAGTAGATGAATGCCTGTTGTTGTTGGTCTCGGCTTGTCCTGTATGTGCTGCGCGTGCTGCGTGCCCCCGGCGCCTCCGCTAACTCGCGCTGCTTGTCGTCCCACAGGACTCACGCGGCCGCCCATGTACCCCTTCTCGCCGGCGCAGTACCCCTACCCCATGCTGAGCCCGGAGATGTCGCAGGTCGCAGCCTCTTGGTGAGTCCTTCAGTAAAATTATCGGCCTATCGATAGAAATCAATCCGCTTATCCGAAAAAGAAGTTCGTGTTTGCTGTTTAGTGTTTTTTTTTTTTTTGGAGGGTTGGAAACGGCCGAAGGGGGAACAGCTTCCCACATTCGTTGTTCAAAATTTGACCACATTCCACATTCAGGTGGCCAAAACGCCTGTAAGTAGGCAATATGTGGGGCAGAAACGCCAGAAATCTTGCACATTCACACAATCATTGTACACATAATTTTACAGTGGGTCGCCCCTCGGAAACTGCGCGTACTAGTTGGATCGTCTTCTCCGCCCACTCGATTGCCACCGCGAGTGACAGAGTGGCGGCGCGCCCTCGTGTTTGTGTGCGCGGGGGCTTTTCTCACCTCGCCGATGAATGGAGTCGATCCCCGGCCCCGAGGCCCGCGGCCCCGCGCCCCGCGAGTGGCTCGGGGCGAGTGAGTGGCTCCACGCCCTCCGGAGGTGTGAATGCCAACGGGGCTGAGCGGAGCGGGGCGTCGACGCGCTCCACGGCAGACTCGCTCTGTCTCCCTCGCACTCGTGGGGCGTCCCGCAGAGGTGCGAGCGAGACAGAGCAACGAGAACGACTGTGTGCAGACGGCTTGGGTCGAGGGGCCCTGATTTTGGCACTCGAGCTTTTTGTTCCCCAGTGGGTGGCACACTCGGAGTGCGGCGCGCACCCCGCCAGCCTACAGCCTCGCCGCGAGCAGAGAGGGGGGGGGGGCGTCAAGCCCGTCAAGCTCGCGGTTCCCTTGTTTTTCAAAAACAGAACTACCCCAAAGGGCGAGGGCCCCTGTATCTAAAACCCTACTCTGCAAATGTCAGCGACACATCCGCCCGTTCGTAACGCCAACGCCGTCCTGGCGGCTTGTTGCAGGTTCTCGCCGACGGGCCTGCTGCCGGCCCACCACCACCACCACCCCGGCCTGGGCAGCCCGCACGGCCCCGGCGGCCACCCGGGCCACCACCCCCTGTCGCACCCGCTGTCCTCCAACCCGGCGATAGTGACGCCGGGCCCCAAGCAGGACCTGGGACCCCAGCCCGACCACAACCACAGGTGAGTCTCTCTCCCCGTCTCCCTCCTCTCGTCCTTCTTAGTCTACTTCTCCTCCTCCTTCGTCGTCTTCTTCTTCTTCTTCTTCTTTGCTCGTTCACCCATATCATCAATTTAGCAGGTCTTTGATGCTCATGCCCGAACATTTCTTTCCCCTGACACACACAACACCTTTCCCTCTGTCAGCCAGGCCACACACATGCACACACACCTACACACACACATGCACACACACATGCACACACACATGCACGTTGTGAGGTGCGCGTCGTCGCCTCCCCGCCCCGCCGAGTGGGCCGTGGAGGCCAGCAAGCTTGCCAGCAGGGCAGCAACAGGGCGCCCTCCGCCTGTCCCTTTGCCGCCTTGATTACGTCTGTCCGTGTCACGTTGCCGAAGAGGCTGATTCCGAGCCCTGTCTCGCCGTCTCCCTCGCACCCTTACGGGGCGCGCCGCGAGTGCGAGTGAGACAGCGAGCGTCGTCCCGGATGAGGCTGCCGGCGACGCTGACACCTCGTTCATTTCGGCGTTCGGCACGCGTCGCGCGCGGAGGACGCCACGATATTGCTTTCTTCCTTTTCCCCTTTATTTTTCTAGTCCCTCGGCTCTTTAGTTTGCCTGGCAGGTGGAGTGTGAAATGGCAGAGCGTGTCTGCCCGCGTGGAAGCGGAGCGGAGCGTGAAGGGGTGGGTACGGCTACAGCGCACAGTGGGCGGAGGCGGCCAAAACTCTAGACGCGTTTTGAGCTCCAGAGTCGCTAAATGGGACTCGAACCGAACGTGTGACCCCACCAATGGGTTCCTCGTTCGGAGAGCAATCCATTGGTGGGGTCACACGTTCGGTTCGAGTCCTGTTTAGCGTCTCTGGAGCGCAAAACTCGTCTAGAGTTTTGGCCGCCTCCACCGGTCTTCTGGCCCACTGTGCGGCTGGCCCGGGAGTGTGTTTGCCGGCGCGTGCGGAGTATCGCCGCGGACGCACCCTCGGCCCGGCCCCAGCGCGGGGTAGCGCCAGCGTCGCGGCGCCGACGGCAGGGTGCGGCAGTCCGCGGCGCGGCCGGCAGAGGGCGCCACCGTCCGCGATCCGAATCGCGGGGCGCGGTGCCGCGCGGTGCCGTTCCCGTCATCGCACCGCGGAGCCGAAGCCGAAGCCGCGGACGGAGTCGTCGCCCGGCCCTGCGATGCGCCACGCCGCGCCACGCCGCGCCGTGCCGCATCCGTCTCCATGGGGGCGTGGCGTGGCGCGGCGTGGCGCGGACGGAAGGGCGGGCGGGGCGCGCGGAGGTTTTGCAGCAGCCAGCCCTGCCAGCCCTGCGATCAATGAATGGCAGCAAATGTCGCTCGACGCTCCGCGCTCCACTCGGCCCGCTTGGCTTTATCCTGCACGGCCAGGTCGACGCGGGGCGCCTCCCCCGCCCCCGCACCTCGCACCCGCTCCACGATGATGACATTCCGAGCGGTCCGCCGGGGGCGGCCGGGGGCGGCGGGGGGCGGCGGGGGGCGGCGGGGGCGGCGCGAGGCTGTGGACTGCGTTATGCTGTATATTCGCCCAGCCCGGAGAGAGACTCCGGCCCACTGCCTCGCGAAGCTGGGCTGGGCTGGGCGCTGCGGTTGCTTTGCCTTCTGGCTGCGGGGCAGAGCGTCCCGGCCCCGGGCGTCGCGGGGCGCGGCCTCCAAGCGAAATCCATACAGACGGATGAGGCGCGCCGAGCCGCCTCCGCGGCCGCCCCACCGCCCCCGGCCCGGCCCTTGCCTTGGCGCCCCGGCGGCCTGGCGGCCCTTACCCTTACGGCGGGGCAAGCAGGCCTGCCTTTCTTCGGCTATTGTCCAGGGATGGGGCAGGGTGATGCTCTGCTTCGCCTCGCCCCGGCTCGATACAGGGCAGAGTCAAGCCCTTGCCGCCCCGCGCGGCCCCGCGCCAAAGCTAGGAGGCTCTGCCTGCCTACCCCGCCGCGGCGCGGGCGGTGCGACGCGCGCCCCTATCGGATGCTATTGAGGTCATAGAGACAGTCGGTGCTCGCTTCACTTATTTCAGCTCGACGGATAGACTACCCCCTCCACGCCCCTCCTCGCCCCGCGCCACGGCCACCCCGGCCACCCCCAACGCCGCGAGGCAAGCGAGGCGGGCGGCGGGCGCAGCGCGGAACGCAGAGCGCGGAGCCACCCTTCGCTGCCACCGCCACCCTGCCGCCACCCCTCCACCCCAGCGGCACAATCGACTCGTGCAATCGAGTGGCGGCTGCAATCGACTGGCGTCGAAAACGCAGTCCGTCGTTGGGCCGACCGGGGCACGGCGCCGCGGTGCAGGTGTCCAGGTGCATGCCGGTGGCCGCCGTGGCCGGCCTTGGCGCGCGGTTGTGCGGCCGGCTGCACCCAGGACCGCGGCGACGACACGGCCGATCGGCCGCTGGGTCTCGAAGGGCGGGTCGATGTGTCGATGGGTCGACCGCGGCGAGGCGCCGGCGCCAGGCAGCGCCAAGCGGGCCCACAGCGCCCTGCCGCGGCCGCGACGCGACGGGACGCGACGGGACGGACGTGCAGGGAGGCCGAGGTGAAGCGACACCCTGTCCTTTGTGTCGAACGCGAAGCAACGCCGAGGCGTCGCAGAGTGCCGCAGTGCCACGCCGTACCGCGCCGCGGCGTCGCCTGCATGTCGGTGGTGGGCGCCGAGGCCCGTCCAGGCCTGTCCAGGGTGCAGCACTCGGTGCAGCAGCGCGCGGGGGCGGACGCGACGCGGTCGCAGCACGGCGGCCCGCCGAGGGGAAGGTGGTGACGCAAGCGGAGAAGAAGGCAGCCAGTCTTCCTCGTCGGACATGGACGCCGTGACGTCGTGACGCTGTGACGCATCGTGACGACGGCCCGCCGCCGCCCACAACAAGTGTTCCATCCATCGTGACGGCCTTCGTGACGAGCTCCGCCGTGACGTGGCGCCGCGCCGCCCTGCCCCGCCGTCCATGGCCCTGCCCGCGGCGGCGAGGCCCCCGCCGAGGGGATCATCGTGGAGGAGAGGGCCATGAGCGCGGTGCCGCGGGGCCTCCTCGTCCTCGGCCCCGGCCCCGGGGATCGGGCCGTCGCAGCGCCCATGGCGCCCATGGCGCCGCCACCCCCCGCCGCCACCGCCACCGCCGCCACCCCTCGGCCCTCGCCAGCTGCGCTAGCCGCGCTGCCCGATGCCCCTGGAGGTGTACCGCCACCGTGCCCGGCCGCTCTGGCACACTAGTGCCGTTTTAACGCACGTGCCGTGTGTGTTCATGTGTGTGTGCGTGTGTGAGGCTGCCTGTGCACTTGTTGGCGCCGCACTGTCTGCAAAGGGGTGTTGACAATGACTAGGGGGTAGAGGCGGTTTGCTTTGCATTCTTGTATTCGTCATGGAATCAGAGTATGATCCTTGGAGTGAGCAGCCCCTTGATTTGGTGAAGAAGAAGTTGACTGTCTCGTCGCCCGACTCAGCTGCAATGGGTGTGAGTGACTTGGCTGGGCCCAAACTGGGCGAAGCCAGTCCAGCGAACCATGAGTTGTATTTGAATGAGGAGGATGGCAACTTCTATTCGAGGAACCAAGCACTCATGAAAGCAAGAAAGGCTTATTCAGATGAGAGGCCGAAGAAATTTGTGTTGAAAGTACCAACTGTCAAGCAGGAAGTGACAGATTCCGAAGCGACTCCCTGGAATGACGCTCAAACTCAAAAGCCGTCTCCTTATTCTTCATCGAATAACAGAAGTCATACTGCTAAGTTGCCCACTGATAATAAACAGTCAGCGTATTCAGTTGCAAACAAGATTAATGCCAAAAAGGCTGGAGGGCAACAAGGTGATAGACAGGAAGAACTAAGCAGATTCATCTTGCAATCACCTAACCTTTATAGTGCATTGTGTCTAAACAAAGCAAAGACGGAATCCATGCCAAGCAAAGGTCAAAAATCAGCTGCCAAGGCTCTATTGCGTGACAGCCCTAAAGATTCCTCAGGAATGTCTGCCGCATACTTAGAAGTATTCGACAAGCTTATGGCTGACTATGTCAAAAAATTGAATGCCCAGGGCAGCCTAGACAACTTAGAAAACACTGTGGAGGGAATTAATTTGGTACTTAATAATTTAGCTGCCTATGAACAAAAGCTTCTATCCGCCATGTACATGGGTAGTTTGATAAACTCAACGTTTCCAAATATTTATCCTCAAATGTCTCACTTGAGTCCTTTACTAGCAGCCCAAAGCCTAGGTTCTGGGTTCAATCCCTTGCTGAACCCTGGATTCCCATTGGGCCTGGCATCGTCAACATTACTTCATTCAGGAATGAGTCCTGAATTATTAGCCTCACCTCTCTCTAGTTCTGCTTACCAAAATTTGCACCCTTCAGAAAGGGCTACGTCTACTCCAATGTCACCTCCTGCTTCATCACCTGCCTCAGTTTCATCAAGTACAAACCCCTCATCAACTGTGACCACCTCACTTCCTTGTAACAAGCTAGGCTCGCAAGACTCTCTTTTAAGAATTAAAGATTTTCATCAATGGAGGGTCAGTGGTGACACCCAGTCAAGCACTCCAACGTCCAGCATAACTTCTTTAACAACACCTACAGACCTGTCTAATGACGAATCCATGTCTCACTCCATGTCTGCTGCATCCAGTGGACGGTCCTCATCTGTCTCCTCAACTCAAAACTTGACCCTTAGTCCCTTGTCGTCTGTTGGTGCTAGTCCCCCTCTTTCTTCAAAGTCTGATTCCTATTCACGACCACAGCTTCTCAATTTTTCACGGTACTTTTACATTGCCTCGTTTTTCTTCTTGATGTGATCGTAATCATTCTAGAGCATACAAATGTGTTATATTGGAGACTAAATCTGAGCGTTTTTCTGTTTTGTATTTTTCAGGTCGATTATTGATCATCAAAAGAACTCTGGGTCAAATTCAGATAACTCAAAAGGTCAAGATCCTGGAAACGGGAGTAATAACCAAGGTATGTTTGTTTTCCCTCAATCACTATATTCTATCCTTTTGTATCCTTAAAAACCACAAAGTGTATGACCCTCTTTTCTTTTCTTTCTTGACTTACAGAAAAGAAGAAACCCCATATCAAAAAACCCCTCAATGCTTTCATGTTGTACATGAAAGAAATGCGACAACAAGTCGTGTCTGAGTGCACACTGAAAGAGAGTGCAGCGATAAACCAGATTCTAGGGCGTAGGGTAAGTCAGATACCTACTTTGCTATTTTTTCCTGTCCTATTTCCCCCAGTTCCTTTTGATTTCACCAGTCATCAAGTTCCTAACTTATTTCTGAAATGTAATTGGTTTCTAATCTTCATTTTCAAATTGAATAGTTGTGTGGGATTATTACCTTCTTTTGCAATCCTCTAATAAATTTCAATTTGTATTGAAGTTTAACTGCTCTTGATGCATTCTTTGCACTTTGTACTTTTATCATAGGAAGTAAATCAACATTTATTTTCATGTTGAAATTTTGCCTTAGGTAAAGCAGTAAATCTCAAACAAATTTTCACAATTTTTCAAATTTTCCTGATTTTGTTTTTCCCCCTTTCTAATGTTTTAAAATCTTATTGTGTTAATTTTTGTAGTGGCATTCTCTGTCACGAGAGGAGCAAGGCAAATATTATGAAAAGGCTCGCCAAGAGCGACAACTTCACATGCAGCTGTATCCTGCCTGGAGTGCTCGAGATAACTACGGTTACGGCGCCAAGAAGAAGAAGAGAAAGAAGGAGCGAGTGCCGGTTGACACTGGAGGAGGTACCTCCCTCACTGCAAACTCACTTCCCTATTTTCCGCGAGGATGTATTCCATTTACATTACGGCTTGATCTAGATTGTGCTTTCACCAATTTTATTCTCAAGTCTCATTTAAATTAATATCAAGATTAGTTTTTTGAAAGTGTTTTTTTAATTATGAATTTGAACTGACTCTTCTCTTTAGGCCATAAGCCATAAAGACAACATAAAGTGAAATGACGTTTTAACTCAAACTGATTTTTTATAAATAATAACGTAATGGTCCCCTGGTCTAGTGTGGGTGGAATACAGTCCAGTAGTGCTAGAATGGCAGTCTGTGAGAGAACGCAGGCCTGGGAAGCTGGTAGATCCCAATGTATGTGTGCGGTCACACGCTTGGTATCAACACATACCCTTTTGGTGCACTCACATTGAAAACAGCAGAATAGGTTGCCCTTTGTGAGGTGGGAACTCAAGCCACACTGGTTGGGCAGGCTATTAGGAAGAGAGGTTTGGGGCCAAATCTCTTGCATCATTTTTTTGTATTCTTGGGGCCAGGAGCTGTATTTCTAGCACAATCAAGGAGAAAATAGGAGTGAATGCGAAGGTGTCGATGGCAGCTTAGTTCCTTTTTTCTTTTCTTCATTTTGGGGGCGTAAATAAGAGAGAAGCATCCAAATTAATAAGTGTCTTTTATTTTGCTTCCTCAATAGTGGCACGCATTAAGCAGAGAGGAACAAGCCAGGTATTATGAGTTGGCTCGCAAAGAGAGACAGCTGCATATGCAACTTTATCCTGATTGGTCTTCCCGTGCCAATACAACGCGTGGTAAGAAGAGGAAACGCAAACAAGAAACAAATGATGGAGGTATGCAACTTATGAAGCAAACTAGGCCCCAGCCAGATCTTCCTATATTTTCTCTTTTTGTTGCATGTTTATTTCAGGGTGGGAAAAAACCACATAATTTGCTGGCATATAAAAAAAAGCTATTTTTTAGAAAAGGGGATGGGGATTTGTGTTTCCATTCAGGGTACCTATTCTGCTTAATCAAGAGACGTAGCGCCTAGATGAACCTGCGTTCTTCTCAGACTTGCGTACCTTGCATGCCTCTCACTTATTGTTAGTACGAACATACTGTATTGCCATTAATAACTTAACTTATTTGTCGCCGCCTGTAGGCTAACACAAGTGTTCCTACTAATTGTTCTAACCATGGTTACATATGAATTGTAAGTGTCTTACTTTTTGAAGAATTTGAAAAGTGGCATAAGTTTTTGATGGTTGAGTATTATTTCTCTTGTATTTTTTCTCTTGTATTGTTGTTTTTCACAGTACTTCATTTTGTGATTCCATACTATGATTTATAGTTCACATCTGAGTATTAATGTGGCAATACATTATGTATTTGGATTGGGTTGATGGGTAATTGTTATCTAAAAATTAATGGATCTGAATTTTGTGGCTGTAAGAGATCAATTTTTTGCTTATTTCAAACTGTGCTATCCATATCCTGCACTGGAGCATAGCTGGAATTTCCTTTTGGAGGTATCAGCATCAGAGCACAGCCAAACTGTCATGCTTTATTGTTTTTGAATTTTTTATGCCTTATTTTAATTTGTCCTTTCAACCACATTATTCATTGCTTGGGTGTCTATTGCATATTAGTTTGAATACTCTTTTCTGTGTTGGACGGGGCGGTACATCTCTCATTTTTTACCAAGTTGCATAGCTTTAAACTGCATTCATTACCAGTACAAATTTTTAATGTTTGTTGATTCTTGTAGAGTCGTTCTGCTGTTCAACTGAAAAATAAGAGATGTACTCATAATGTGAAAGGATACCTGTTCTTGGTTTTCATATTTGTCTTCCCTCTTTTTTTCCCAGGAAATAACATGAAAAAATGCAGAGCACGATATGGTCTGGATCAACAAAGTCAGTGGTGCAAACCATGCAGGTAAGCAAATGTTAAATGTTTAATTGTGTTCTGGTGTAATCTTAAATTGATGTCACTGACTTGTAGAGATACGGTCAGCTTCATCACCAGTGCTGAAATTTGGCTCTGTAAGTACAGCTAGCGCTCATTCAATCCCTCCTCGACACTGCTTTTAAGGCTTCTCTCCTCTCCGTGCTGTCACATTCTTACCCTATTTGGTGATTTTAATTATGTGGTAGTTTTGCAAATACTCTGCGAAGAGTTCATAACCATCCCATTGGGATATAATCTGCAGTCTCCTTTCTCTCTGAAAGAAACTTGTACATATTTCTAAATCTATTGTCGAGAGATTGAGTGAGCGTACTGAAAAGACCGGTAGCTGTTTGGCATCTAGTACAATCTTTATAGAATTCTAGATACTAGGGAATTTCGGAGAAGCTCAAGTATTGTTTCTGGTTGTTATAACGGCCGACGTGTCCAGGCGTTCTAATAGGAGTTCTCCTAATCAATTTGCTGCAGTTTAAAATTTGACTGTCAGATCTTCTCTTGCACAGTTAGATAGATACATCTAAGTCATGTGCAGGTTTACACATCTGTAGAGATCTGGCAGTTTTGATTGTAGTGTATTTCAATCTTGTGATTTGGTTTGAATTATATTGTAGCTGTGTTTGATACTTCCAAACCCTGACAAAGTCAGAGAAGCAGGCCAGGCAGTGTGGCTAGCCATGGATTAGTCTTTCAGAATTTGTCAATGCCTTGCCTTGTGCTCCATACTTACTATGGTGCATGATAGTAATTTTGAGCACAGCATTTTTCTTCAGAAGAAAAAAAAGCCTGGAAATTGTTCTATTTGTAGAGGGGGTAATCACTTTAAAACAGTGACACAGTGTAGTGTGTCACTATGATCTCTCCAGAAAGCTGCAGGCTAATTTTGTTATGTTTGGTGTTTTTTTCTTTTCTGTGTGGAAAGACTTGTTTCATGTTAATATATCTATAATCCTAATATTCCAAATTGAATATGGATGCAGATATTGTATATGTATTGTTTCTTTCCTTTTTATAAACTATCTACACATTATGTATTCCTTTCTCTTTGTATCTTTTGGGTGTTGGCTAAATAACTTAACATCTTATTTTTAAAGGAAGATGAGCTGTGGTTATGTGGTAGTCAAATGCAATTACAAGCTGAAAACAATTGTAATAATGTACTTATTTGCAATGTGATGCAAAATTTTGTGACTTACTTAAAAATTAATTCACCAAGTGTCACTGTCAATTGATGGGCTGATGTGGGAAGCATTTGTTTAGTCTACTATGTAAATTTGGGCATTACTTCTTGGGGATTTGGCCATTATTATCTTCATTTTGTCAAAGCACAGCTTTTGTTTCGTTTTTCTCCCTAATTTTGAAAGGAATTAATATGATTCAGAAAATGTGTCTTCCCACAAAGAGAAGAATAGAATCAAACTGAAATTGTACAGAATGGAAGAGAGATCTCTGATGTGGCATTAAAGGCTAGAGGTTTGTGAAGGCTGTGTAGTAGTTCAAGTATTCAGTAGAACTGTTGCAAAGTTCTGAAGCACAATGCACTACGGATTGGACCACAGTAGCAAAATTTAAAAGGGGCATGTCACTTAAAGCCTGATGAGGCCATATGGTCTTGCACCATCCTCCTTTCCTTACTTGACACCACAATCTCTCTTTCATAACCCCTTCTCTTCATTTTTAAAGAAATGGTTGACACATTTTCTGGAAAGTGCTGCCCATCATACAAGTTGTAAAAAGTGTTTTTGTTCCTAAGACAAGACGTGGCTTAATGGCCGCATTGTTGCATTGATGTTATGTGCACAGTCTCCAAATTTGTCGTACTCACAATTCGACTTTATTTAAAAAACTTTTTCCTCTTTGTATTTAGGGCAGAATCTTTTTGAAAATTGCCTATGTTTTCATTACATCCCCTTTTAATTTTTAGTAGAGCAGGTTCTTAGTATACATCAGCAGTTTGAATGGAAATTATTATTAATTCTGCTAGTGCCCATTGACACTAAACTTTTTTATTTTTCTTTCTTTTTCAAAAATTTAAATTCAAGCGTGAAAATTTGGTTTTCTATTTGAAGTGATGGAAATGAAATGCCCCTTTTATTCTGCTCCTGACTTTGGTTTTCTCCTGTTCTGTGTTGTGCTGCTCGCCCCGCTGTGGTGTCACCAGCCCGGATGGAGCCAACAGCCTTGGGAACCCAAACCACCCTTCCCACCCACACTCTAGTCTAATGCACCACTCAGCTGGTGGGGGGCCTGCTAGTTCACCGCAGGAACCCACCTATGTAAATCTCTAGAACTCGAACAGTCGCTCGCACAAATATGCTGATAAGTCTGGTATATACCACGGTGTAATGTCTTCATTATGCCTTTCATTACATTCATCTAATTGTTGTTTTTTTTCTTTGTTTTAATTTTGGCTGTTCTTCGAATTTGCGTTTGATTTTCGTCTCTTAGTTTATTTTTTAATTCTTTCCTCTTAGCTTCAGTGAGTGGCATGCCTCAGCACTGACGTTTCACCACCTAATTTATTTCTCTATTTATCATTTCAGTTTGCTTTTTGTAGAGTTTGATTTAATTATTTTCATTTTAACTTTTTAAATTTTGTATTCTTTTAGTCTAGTTGATTTGCCTTTACTTTTGATCTTACTCTTTGAAGCTGTAGGTTTGCTGCAGTTTGATATTTTGCTTCTTCATCAGTAGATAATAATGTGTGATACAATAATGCACGGAGTGCAGTGCCTACTAGTTCCGCTGTTGCCTGGAATTCCTGTTTGGCGTTTTCTTCTGTTCATCTGACATAAGTTACCTTGTCATCTCTGCTCTGCTTCACACTTTATTTTTATTTCAGCTCTGCTATTCAGTGTTGAGACCTCTTTTGTGAATGAAACCTCTTGTTTTGTTTTTACAATTGCCACAGATAGCTTGGACTATTTGTACCATCTCTCTCAAAGCTGATTGCCGCCTTTGTGTTAATGATTAATCTAATAACCTTGTACAATTTCTCGAATATATCTGCTTGTGGTATTTCGGAATGTACAAGAAAATTACTCATAACTATTGTTTCTTACATCATCAAAGGACTTACACATCATGCTAATCCAATTCACAGCTTTAATGCAACATTAACATGCAGTAATCAGAAATCATTCAGATGCCATGAACAGTTCTATTAATTTTGTCAGAATTTTAACTCTATTGTGTGGGTGTGTGTGTCATTTGTTGTCTATTGGAATACACCACAACATTTTATTCATGGATTGTCATTTAAGTTGTAACTTTGGTTTTTCTTTCTCCATCATGTTTGTGACCCAGTGTCGCAGCCCCCAGCTTTCATTGCGTATTGTGCCAATTGCACTGCAGTTTTCATGGAGGACATTCTGATACTATAGCCACTCTTAGCTGCCCCAGAGGAGTGTTCGTCTATTTTCATATACCAGGAAGCATATCATATTTTGCCCTTAAATTTATGTACAATTGGTGGTACATTCTCTGAAGAGTATTCACATTGACGAACAGTCTTCTTTTTAAAGTAGTTAGTTTTAGTTTAGCGTCGTTTTTGTTGCATGTCCAGTTCAGTGTGGCATCACTAACTTGTTTGCTGATTAAGCTGTGTTGTTTTGTTTATCACAGAATATTCTATTTCCTTTAATTCCTCTGAAAAATCTCTGCTCAAATAGCTCGAGGATTTTATCCTACCATTGGATATCATCCTGAGCTGCGTTTCTTCATAAATCATAACTTAACTGTCAGTTTGTCAAAAGTAATTTACTGTGCTTGATTCTTGCAGAGGAAATATTTTACTGTTTATATTCTCTTTCTCTTGTTGTGTACATATTGGCTGTTCATTGTTTTGCTTCTTTTTTTTAATTTTAAGAAAAGGAAAGAAACACGTCCTTGTGCATTACTATAGCTCTTGCTCTCGTTTGCTTCCAGGCGTAAGAAGAAGTGCATCCGGTACATGGAGGCCGGCGGCGGCGGCGGCGACGACGACGGCAACCAGTCGGACGACAACCTCGGCTCGTGCGGCAGCGTGGGCGAGGGCGACGCGCACACCCCGGTGGACGAGGACGACGACGGCGACGGCGACGAGTCCATGTCGCAGTCGCACTCGTTGTCGAGCCCCGGCGGGCTGAGCGGACTGTCCAGCCTCACGAGTCCATCCATGATCCTCCCCAGCCCGAGCACCAGCCTGGCCAGCCCCTCAGTGAGCCTGGCCAGCCCGTGCATGAGCCTGCAGTCCCCCCTCACGCCCCTGGAGTACGAGTGCAAGCCCCCTCCCCCGTTACCGTTGTCCCTGTCCCTCCCCATGTACAACCACCACCACTCACCTTTACTAGGACCTCCCTTACATCGACATCCAGTCGGGACAAATCCTCACGATATTAACAATCCGTTGAGTGTGAACCAATTGACTGGCAAGTGTATCAAGACAGAGCCTAGTAGCAGTGCCAGCAGTGGGAGTGGAGGACCTAGTGGGCCCGGGCCGGGGTCAGTGGCGGGGCCCAGCGCCCCCGCGCCAGCACCTTCAAACATCATCAGAGTCACGTAGCGGCGGCTGGCAGCTGGCATGGCCTTCATCGTAGCATTTAGTCAAATAGTGAGAATCTTCAATTCCCATCATTCATCACAGATGACCACTGTACTACCTCTCATGTATCATCTTCATAATAATAATTATTACAATTATCATTGTTCATTGTCATCATCATCATCATCATCATCATTTTTATCGCAATTATCTTCATCATCAATCTGTGTTGCTCTAATTCTTAGGCAGTCTATTAGGTGTTGTTTCTTTCTTTTTATAAGTTATATATATATACAAATAAATATATATATTTAAAATTGAGCTATGGTAATTTGAAACCTGAATGATGGCTTGACTACTGTCAGACATTGCAAACTTTGTGTTTTAATCGACACTATACTGCTTCATGAATGTGATGCCTATTATTTAGTTACTTTATACGTTTAGGGTGAAAAGTAGATACTTTGGGACTCCTGATATGTTTTACAGTCAGTCTCCAAAGTTTTCTGTATTGTCAAGTGACTGATGGTATAAACTTGGCTCTGGATATTTGAACTTGTAAGTGTGGTCATCACAGCCCAAGGTGAAGTCAAAAATCTGTGTTCTCAAAAGACTGGATTTGTAATGTGTTATTTTTTTAAGGGAATATAAAATATGCAGAAAACCATTAACTGTAGTCAAGGGAATGGTTGGATTTTGTCATCTTGTACTCCCAATCATGTCATGCTGGTTTCATGTTCCTGTATCATTCTTAGGGGGACTTCAGAATGTCTCTTCAGAAAATTATTCATTATTTACAGCTTCAATTTGGTAAATGGTACTAAGTGACATGCTGCTTTCTGTAATAATTTCTGTTTTCCCTCAACTGAAAAAATTGAGTATATTGTGCTTCTTGACTTATCTCAACATACTCTGTTTTAGCGTTTTATGTTAATGCTCCGGTAAATTATGTTTGTCACAAAGTACTTGATTTCACTGGATAACCATCCAATATGTTAAAATTGTGAGAAGATATTGTTCCTTTAGTGCCAGAACTTGTGTTAATTGTGTATGTTTTCTCACAACACCGTCTATGTTATTTAATTTTTATGAGTCTTTATCTTAAGATTTGCCAATTGATAAATGATCTATGAAACATTTTAAAAAATCTATCATCCTATTATATGTTAGGTCTGTTTCTTTTATTCCCATTTTATTTTTATCTAATTGAAATTGTGTCATGTGGCCTTTGCCATTTATGAATATAATAAAGTTATGTCCGAGCCTTTCCTTTATATCTCAAAGTTTTTGTTTTCTTATTTTGCCTCAAAATTTATGCATCAGCAAACATTTGTGAACAGTCTACTTCTTGCTTGATTTGAAAGTTTTAATTGTTATCTCCTTATTGCAATCAAACTCTTGACCATGCCAGTGTAAATTGACAGAATGATAACAACTATCATTTTAAAGCAAAGCATGCCACAGCATACGGCCCATGCACACATTTCTCGATTTCTTTTATTTTCTCGTTGTTGACTTGACTCTTTGTGATGTAAATTAAATTTTGATTGTTTTCTGTTGAATTTTACAAATTTACAAACGGTTGGAATGGGAAGTGTACATATATGATATGAGTTGGAAGGATTAGATGGCATGTAAAGATTTTTTTTATTATTATTATCTTTATTTGTGTGTATGCATTTGTAATTTTAATGTGTGGTGACGAATGATCCTGTGCTCTCATTTGCATGAGCTACTTAACTTACTCTTGGCTAGTTTTAGCAGGTGTGTGCAGAGGCACATTCTCTGTGAAAAGACACATTTACAAAAGCCTGTGTGATTTTTCTGTACATGTTTTTGTTGTATATGTGTATTTTCACAAGAGTGAATGGGTGGGTGTGAGAAGTTACACGCCATAACCTTTGTTGAAATGAATCTGTTATGAGTTCCACAATATCATGTCACTAAGTTACCGTACAAATAAGTGCTCATAGCCTTTTCAGTAAGATGAAGTATTAAATTATATTTGTGTCAGATAGAAAAGACAGTATGAAGTCAAAGAGAGCTGATCGTTCACTGAGCTACCCAGTCATTAAAGTGCGGAGCTTGGTGAACCTTGTACTGGAGTAAACTGCATCTGTAGCATCTATGAGCGTAAATGTGAATGACGAGACATGTTAACTGTCACACAAATTGTTTATGTTCTAAATCTCTTTCTCATGATCGCTACATTGAATTATGTTTTTCTTAAGTTGCCATGTCTATTTTCTCTTGATTTCCCAGTAGATTTAAGTGTAGATTTCTTTTTATGACAAAGCGTACATTTGTTGATTGTTTGTATGTGAGTTGGGCTGTCTCCTTGTGATATCTCAATTTTGTGTATCTCTTAGTTGTTTCATTGTGCATAAAGCATGCTCTGTAATGGGCCTTCCCAGTGCAAACAAGCTGTGTATGGAATCTTAATTACAATTTCAATAGTCAAATTGTCGATATGTATCATTGGTGCAACTCATCAACAATCTACATTAAAATGGTATTGAAGCCTATGATTTTCTGAATATCAAAACCTTCTTTTGATTACTTCCATTCAGTTTTCTTTGTTATCAAAAATATGTGATGCAGACAGAAATTTGTTATTTAGGGCTCCATACATCATTATTAGGTTCTTAAAATTCTTTTTGGGTCTTCAGTCTTTATCAGTTCTATTTCAAATGTGCTTTAACATGGTTTGGTTAGGAACATTGTTGCTCTATATGCCTTACAAAAACCACTTCTGGCACACTTGCTTTGGCGGCCAACTTAAAGGTCACAACAACCAATGAGCTTTTTCGAACCTCTCATATCTTCACGCACCAAGAAAATTTGGGATTTCTTTAACCTTACACAAAAGATATTTTTGAAGTAGAACTTGATAAGCAAAGATAATGATACAAATTCTTTTTATGAAGGGTACCTCAAACTTAGCGATCTCATCAAGTAAAAGAGAAGTCCTTTGGTTTATTTTCCTCGGGTCTTCATAGCTATACTTGAAATTTGGACTGTTTTCCCTTTCTTTGGGCACCAATTGTACCTATGAATTGGAAACTAAATTCTGCTTTGCTTTCTGTGTTTTCTATTTTCCAAATACACAATGAAGTGGCTTGTGGTGTAGATGATCTGTGGTGAGTTAATATCATTTACTTTAGATTCAGTTCCTCAGATCTCATTATTTGTAACAACAGTAGGCTATGTCAGCTGATATAGTGGACGTGCTCTCTTATTTATGAATTGAAAATACTTTGGCTTTTGTTTTGTTACATATTTAGAATTGTGATTGATACATTTGCCTGTCCCGTTTCTAAAACTTTACGTCACAATCCTGGTAAGAGCAATATCTGTGTTTCACTTTGTTAGCTTTATTTCATCTTGCTTTGAGAAGAACATCTTTCATTAAACTCTAAAAAAATTTGTGCCAAACAACATTATAATTTCATGTTTACTATAAATCTGTGAAAAAGTTCCATCACAGCCATGCAACAGGCTTTTAAAAAATAATTCCTGTACCTGTGAATAAGATAGCGGCCAAAGTAGAGTTGAAACAGTCCACTACATATCATTTGCATTGAGGTTTTGTGACCAAATTCATGGAGATTTGTATGTACATTGTGCCTATTGGAATGTCTGTCAACTCTACAACCAGAACTCAGTTGCACTTTCTGCGAACAATGGGGAACTAGTCATTCAATCTTTAGAAAGTTTTATTTCTGCCGGAAGTGAACAGGGAAGGAATGTCAGAAACAATTTTTATTCAAAATCTGCAACCATCTCCCTTTACTTGCCCTCATTCATAAGCCTTCCCAAAATTAATTTGTGTATGCAGCTATTGAAGAATTCATTTTTATAAAATGAATGTAAATACTTAAATTTCATAAAACAATTGTTTCTTTTCCTATTTAAGGAAGGAGAAAATATTACAAATTGTTATGTGTATGTAGTAAATGTAAAAAGAATCATATTTCTATATGTCTTTAGTATGTATGAATAGGTCATCATCCTTCAGAATCACCATTTCCTCTTCATTTTTTAGAAAAGAAGAAAATTTAAGATAAGAGTTGTGTATGCTGTATAGAACTGAAAAGAAATACGCAACTTTTGAAATGAAAAATGGAATAGTGTTGAATCAACATTATGTATCTCATGTGTATAGTTAGGAATGTACCATAACAGCATTATAAAGAACACAAAATTTAGAATGTTGCGGTATTGTGTCTCGTGTAGAATCTGAGAGTGATCTTCATAGTCATATCTCATCAGATTTGAATATTGTTGTTAGTAAAGCAACATTGATTTCTACAAATTATGTCAACGCCTTCTTATTGTGCACCTACTACCCCTAGATTACATCACACGAATATCTTATCACACATTTTCAAGATGAAAATACAATGTGATGGACAAATAACAATCGTAAAAGATGGGGACTCCTAACACTGCTATTTCAAGGACCATTTCGGCTCTAAACAATCTTTTTGTGGCAAACGGCTGGAAATATTTGGTCATAAATTTAGGCAACCCATCGTGCACAGTCTCTTCACCCCTCCAGAGCTCAAGTAGGGTCACGGGGAAGTCATTTTCACACCAAATGAGATCTGCCAAAGACCATTGGGCACCGGGCATCTGTTTCCTAGACCCATAGCAACGTTCCATATGAATTTCAGACAAATCGGAGGCGGTCGACCATTTTCGTCGAAAAATTGTTAAGGCTATACATCATGGTTTTTTACCGTTTTCGGCCAAGAATTTAAAATGGCCCAAATTCGAGTATGTTGTGCTGGATCACTCCCTCAAGACGCCTGACACTATTTCAAGGGCCACTTCGGCCCTTAACGGCTGTTTTTCTGACGAAGAACTGGAATGGTAGAAGCATGCGCCGCGTAGGTAGGCAACCCACTGTCCACAGCTTGCGGAACTCGACCAGCGTCACGAGAAAAGTCATTTTCACACCAAACAAAATGCGCCAAAAGCCATTGGGCACCGGGCATCTGTTTCCTAGACCCATAGCAACGTTCCATATGAATTTCAGACAAATCGGAGGCGGTCGACCATTTTCGTCAAAAAATTGTTAAGGCTATACATCATGGTTTTTTACCGTTTTCGGCCAAGAATTTAAAATGGCTCAAACTGCAGTATGTTTTGCTGGAGCACTCCCTGATGATTCCTGGCCCTATTTCGAGGACGTCCAAATTCCTCTGGCTGAATCAAACCACAAATTTAGACAAATTAGTCACCATAGAAGCTTCGTCTCGATCCTTCGCGCGCGCAAGCCGAGGCAGAGACGGGGGAGGCTGGGAGGGGAGGGGTGGAGAGAGGGGCCAGTGGGGCGGAATATATAAACAGCGGTCCACGCCAGCGGCACCAGTCAAGGGCTGCAGCGAGGGTTTGACAGCAGCTATCCCAGTTCCGTCCGTGATACTATCCCTCTACTTCATTCAGGTGAGTGCAGGTTCCTGCCACACCTGGAGAAGGGACTCAACAACGTTCTCTTTGGATGACAAGTGGTGGCCTCATAGTGGTAGGTACACTTCGTCCTCATTCAGTAGCAGGCTTAGGGACGCAAAGGCCTGAAAAGACTCACGGCATAGTGAAAAACCTCCGGCTAGCGCCGGAGAGATAGGCAAACCTGTCAGCGTCGGCGTTCGAATCAAGCATCAGGCTCTTTCGTTCACTAGCCGGTCGGTGGGCCAGTCTTTAGGCCGGCCGGCGGCTGTGAGATGCAGCCTGCAGTGAGTCATACCGGTGAGAACGCCCCCCCCCCCTCTCTATTTCGGGCCGGTTTCTAGAAATATCGCGCCCCTCTCGCGGCGTCGCGGCGCCAAGTGGGCGGCAGGCGTCGTGACAGTGTACTTGACAGTGCACTGCCGCCGCGGCCCGGCCAGCGCGTCAGTGACAGAACAGTGACAGAACAGTGACAGAACAGTGACAGAACAGTGACAGAACAGTGACGGAACGAGTGACCCTTCCCTTCGGTTGCAGCATGTCCCTGGTGCCGCTCATGTTCCGCGACTGGTGGGATGACCCCGAGCGGCCCTCGCGGCTGCTGGACCAGCACTTCGGCCTGGGGCTGACCCGGGACGACCTGGTGCCGCCGCCGCCGCGGGCCTCCTCCCTCCTCCGCAGCCACTACCTCAGGCCGTGGAGGCTCGCCCGGCAGAACTCGGGCGCCTCCGCCCTGGCCTTCGAGAACAACCAGTTCCAGGTGAGCGCATCTTCGCCGTGCTTACCGCCAATACTGCCCATGGCCCTCATGGTGAAACGGCCCTCATCTCACGCCCCCCTGTTCGCCCCGGCGCCGCAGGTGAGCCTGGACGTGCAGCAGTTCGCGCCCAGCGAGCTGTCCGTCAAGGTGTCGGAGCGGTCCGTGGTGGTGGAGGGCTGCCACGAGGAGCGCGCCGACGAGCACGGCTACATCTCGCGCCAGTTCAAGCGGCGCTACCTGCTGCCCGAGGACGTGGACACCGCCGCCGTGTCCTCCTCGCTGTCCTCCGACGGCGTCCTCACCATCAGCGCGCCGAGCAAGGTGAGCGGGAAAAGTTGGAAATTTTTAAAAAATTATTTGGACCTGCACTGTAGTACATTTGTCTGATTGTGTTGCCTTGCCGCGCGGTTTGACTTTTTTCTTTTTCCGTGTTTGCCTGCAGAAGCAGCTGCCCCCCGGCGAGCGTTCCGTCCCCATCACGCAGACGGGTGCCCCCGCGCTGTCCCCGCCGCCGCAGCCCGCCGCCCCCTCCGCCCCCTTCCCCTCCGCCCCCGCCGCCCCCGCTGCCGCCCCCGCGAGCCCCGTCACCACCAACATTCGCATCGAGAAGGAGCACTGAGCCCCCCCTGGGCCTGGGCCCACCCCGACGACTGCCGACCACCTAACAAGAAACTCAAGTTGCCAATCATGAGACTAATGTTTTTGTAACGCTTTGTGTGTGAGTGTGTGTTTGTGTGAGTGCGAAATTTATTTTTTGTATCGATGGAATAAAATAATAGCGAAACCGAAATGCACAGTGTTGGGTTTATTTGGACCGCCCTTACTGCCTGTCACTCCGGCCTTAGACTCTCCGTACACGGAGGAGACAATCTCCTCCCCCTCCCCTCCCCCCTTCCCCTCCCCCTCCGAGGCCATCATGATGGCGGTGGAGCACGCCAGGCTCGGCAGCCTCGCCATGTCGCGGCAGCCTATTCTGTACAGGATTAATCCTGATCAGCCCTTCCCCCAACCCCTTCTGTTTTTTTTCGATCAGCTCGCCGCGCCCTTTCCCCCTGCTTTTCCAGGTCGCCCAGAAACCGCCACGGTAAACGAACTAACCAACGACCGTTTCTTTTTCGCGACTTTGTTCGGTCGGCACAGCCGGCGGGGAGGTCAGGTCGCTCCAGTGTAGCGAATTGGAGTGCCGCCGCCGGCTACGTCGGACAGTGTCTCGGACAATGTCTCGGACAAAGTCTCGGACAATGTCTCGGACAATGTCTCGGACAGTGTCTCGGACAATGTCTCGGACAATGTCTCGGACAGTGTCTCGGACAATGTCTCGGACAATGTCTCGGACAATGTCTCGGACAATGTCTCGGACAATGTCTCGGACAATGTCTCGGACAATGTCTCGGACAATGTCTCGGACAATGTCTCGGACAATGTCTCGGACAATGTCGACTGGCGGCTCGGTGTGCTCGATGCGGCGCCAACCGAACGCACGCCCACCGCCCCGCACGACGTGAAGCGATGACCGCACCACACCGCACCTACGGGAGAGATACACACTGTCAGAAACAACTACTCAAACAGTGGACACAAACCTTCTAAATGATTTCAAAATCCACGAAGGTTGTTTACAGCTCCTTCAGTCATAAATTATGTCAAGTTTGCAGGGTGAAAATGGTTTGCGCGGCGACTTTCGTCATGCTGAGGCGGAAGCCCCATGAACTGCAAAGTTTCCGCTGCCGCCGAATTGGCGCTTCCGGGTCCGATTTACATTGCAATCGAGTGACGTTGGCGGCGACGCCGCGACGCCGCGACGCGGTGGGCGGCATGCCGCGGCAGGGCGACGTCGCATGCCTCCGCCCCCGCCACCCCGTCCGTTCCTCCTCCGGGGCCTGCGGCAGGCCCGGCAGGCCCGCGCGGTCTCGAGGCGCGGCTCGCGGCCGCCACCGCGGGGAGGCGAAGCAGTCTTCGTGCGCGCGTGGCCGGAAACGAACCGGACTCGACGACTCCGGGGCCGCCGAGGTTCCCGGAGGTTTCCCGGAGGCCGGTGCTGCCCGGTGCTGCCCGGTGCCGTCCGGAGGGCATGGTCGTCGTGGGCGCCCTCCGCGCGAAGAGGACGCCGTCGTAGTCGTGGCGGCCGTGGCGGTCGTGTAGGGGTGGCGGTCGTCGGCGAGGGTCTGTCTCTGCAGCGCGTCGTCTAGCGGGGCACCAGAAGTAAGATGCCACCCTTTGAACAGCCGTGGACATCGTCCTTGTCAACGTTCATGCCGAAGATGGACATTTTAAAGTGTAGGGCCGGAGGGAACGAATGCGCCATTTGAAATTTGAAGGACGCGGTCAAGAAAATGAAGGTGTTCATTTATGTCCGAGAGGTAGACGATGAGGCTACCCCTCCCCCTCCCCGCCCGCACCAGCACGCAAGTCTCGACCGCGCCCAAATAGCCCCCCTCTCTCTCCCCTTCAAGACCGTCCCTTCCGTGTTCAATGTCTTTATCATATGCTTTGGGCCGGGCGGGGTGGGGCGGTGTGTGCCCGTGCCGCGTGTGTGCAGCTTTTATCCGGCCTTGTTCTATTTCCCCGTGGAACTGTTTTCGCCGCGGCCGTATACATCGGGACCCAAAGTTGGTGAACCCAGACCAAGACGAGGTGCCAAAAGGGGACGTCAAGCCTGTCAGCCATTCCAACAGGCGGCACGGCCGGGCGCGGCTCCATCTCGGTGGCAGTCTCGCGGGCCGGCTAGAGGCCCCACGGCCTCATGCCAAATTGGATCCTGACAGAAATGTGTCCCCGCGCCTGGCACGCCTCAGGCCGTGCATTTTCGTGCCGGTGCACGACGGACTGCGTATCCTATACCGCACCCCTCAGTGCACATACGCAAAGTTTCAAGCTGCGACCGCTTTGACCGTTCAAAAATCCGTGTTCAATTCTAAGGGAGTTCCGTGCCGACCCGTTGCTTTGCTGGTGTCTTCCCTACAGAGCAGCAGCCCGAAGGGTTGCCTACCCACAGGCGCTCCAGACACGCGACAGGGGTGGGTGGATTTCCAGGCTGCCAGGGTGGCCTGCAGCCCGCACGACAGAGGCAGATTTATTAACCGAAGCACAGCCCTCAATGGATGAATAATCGACGTGGACATGGCACTATTAATCACGAGGGGACGGGAAAAGTCGTAAATCGCTGACTCGAGGAACGAATACTCGGGTTGAGGCGTCTCAAAATACGAGACAAACGGAGCCTACGCACGATAGTGCGCGGTCTGAACAGTCCACGTCCGTTGGCTTTCTTTATTCATCCTCAGCCAATATTCCTCATAAGTACATCAGGGCGTAAGAGCAGAACTGCTAGTTTACAGGTCTAAATGCTACTTTTATCTGCAGTAATCAGGAAAATTTTGACGAGCCGTGGATTTGCTGGACAAAATGAGACAGTAGAAGTGTCACCCGACACCCACACCAGCCGCGAGAAACGGGAGAGACGTACGGACAAACCAGACGTTCAAACGCGTGGCGCGAAGCGGGGCCAGCGCCGCAGCCAACCAGCGAGCGGCCGGTGGTTCGCGCGGCCGCCGTCGGGAGGCGCCACCTGTATTTATCCTTGGCCCAGGGCACGGAAGCGCGCCACAAGACTAGGTTCGCACGCGCGCGAGGAGGTAGCCGCCGCGTCGCCGCTCAGCGGCCGAGCCGGCCGAGCCGCCGGGGGGTCCGCGTGGTGCGCCGCCACGCCACGCCGCGCCACGCCGCGCCACGCCGCGCGCGAGGAGTGGGGGGTGGCGGGGAGGGGGAGGAGGTGGGGTGGGGGGAGCGGCGCGGGTCATTCATCGAGTCCTGCCGGCCGGCGGTGCGTTGGGTTGCCTAGCCTCACGGCGCTCGGCGGCCTCCGCGCCTGGCGAGTGTTCGGCTGCCTACCCGCACGGCGCTCAGTGGGCCAGAAGACCGGCGGATGCGGCTAAAACTCTAAACGCGTTTCGAGCTCCATAGTCGCTAAGCAGGACTCGAACCAAACGTGTGACCCTACCAATGGATTCCTCGTTCGGAGAGCTATCCATTGGTGGGGTCACACGTTCGGTTCGAGTCCCATTTAGCGACTCTGGACCTCAAAACGCGTCTAGAGTTTTGGCCACCGGTCTTCTGGCCCACTGTGCGGCGCTGTGCCAAGCTGGGCTTTCCCTTCTCGCCACTGCAGCCGTTCCTGGAAACGATCGCAGTGTGCCAAACGCAGCGGAGAGCACATCGCATGTCTCCGCGGTGCAGCGGCGCGCCGTCATCGGGCGCGGTGAAGCAAAGCCGAGTATAAAGCCCAACCAACTAAGAATAAAAGGACACGAAGAGACTCCGCCGCGTATTCCATTGCAAGCCAAGGGCCCACGGGGGAGTGCATTTAGAACTGTCTGCGGGCGGGCTGACATTACTTTATGACTTTCGTACATGCGACTGTCTGTGCCTGGAGGATTTTTACGGTTTTTGCGCTGATGTATTGCTGCGCCCCAAGTTCAACCACCTGGTTGTAGCACTGCGGTCTCAGAGCTAGCTCCGGGGGAACCTTGGCCGTTTGACCAGTATGTCATCTGCCACTATACTTTCAAATAATAATATGAAAAAAAGTAATGATAAAATTATTGGGGAGTGGTTATACACTCTGGTCAGACAATCTCAGCGAGCTCGACAATGTACTAAGTATATTCCCCTGGGCTTGCTCCTGAGCGTGCACTTGAAAGCACACGCACTGGGGAGTGAACTGGGTGGGTACACCGTCGAGGTTGCAGGGAATATTTCGAGGGATAAATATTTAATCTGTTTCTGACTGGGGGCCGCTCCCTCCCCGCAAGCATGCCTGCAAGCCATGTCTGTGGTGTGCTGCCGCGCAGCGGCCGTGCCAGGTCTCCATGTCTCCGACACACAACAGGTTGGGGACAGCCCCCCCCCCCCCTCGCTTCTTCTTGCCAGGTTCGCTACCAACTTTAAACGCTCGATTAAAAGTCCACCGCCCCCCGCCCCCCGCCCCATCCCCGCGCCACCCCTACTACCAACTTTGATTCAATTATTAACATGCGAGCGAGGCGTCAAGGCTGCGCAGGCTGTGCGGGCTGTGTTGGCAGCCCCACAGTGGGCCAGAAGACCGGTGGAGGCGGCCAAAACTCCAGACGCGTTTTGAGCTCCAGAGTCGCTAAATGGGACTCGAACCGAACGTGCGACCCCACCAATGGATTGCTCTCCGAACGAGGAATCCATTGGTGGGGTCACACGTTCGGTTCGAGTCCTGCATAGCGACTCTGGAGCTCAAAACGCGTCTAGAGTTTTGGCCGCCTCCACCGGTCTTCTGGCCCACTGTGAGCCCTGCGTGCCGATGCCTTGGCCGCCTTCGCGTGCGCCGCGCGTCCCCCGCGGACGAACGACCGCGTCAAAGGGGAGCTTTCATTTCAGCGAGCCTCCATGGCCTGATGGCCCTGATGGCGCTTTGCCTTTCGCGCAGATTGGAGAAAAATAAAGGAAAGGGATCGCAATAGAATTTAATTTTGAGAGATTGGCCCGATGGATCAATCGATCAACTTATGTGACTACTGGATGATTTCTTTTCTTAATTTGAATTGCCTAACTTGAAATGATCGCGAGGGGTTGGTTTGGAAGCGCTAGGCAAGTGACAACCGTGAGGAAAGGGTTAAGGTTCAGTTGCTGAAAAGTGAAACAAGGGGAATGAAGTAAAAAGGGACCAAGGTGTGTACCATCCATACCATAGCTACCCCTTCGCTCGGGGCGAGGGCCTGCAAGGGCTACATTCACTCGCGGGGTAGGGCTGTGGCTTCGCGT